GCATCACATGGAATGACCCATCAGTCAGTGGAGCGCATGAGTGCCAGGAGTCTAGGTACATTCTTTGCATACTTACTGTAAGGTGGCCGGATGGTCAAGGCAAGCACGGCGGCTTTCTTTACTAGACAAACGCCGACTTTACTAGACAAACTGCAGCTCTTGTGGCTGACTCCTTTTGTCGGTGAAATAATTGAAATTGTCAATCCATGATGTGAGTCCCAGCAAGCTCAGGTCGAAGGGAAAAAACATATACAATAAGAACTCCTAGCCTCAGTTTATATATTAAGCCAATCCCTACTCCCAAAACATCCAAGACATCCTTAAAGCCTTAAAAGTTTTGAAACAATTTGACAGAGGCTCATGTTGGTTGGTTGACAATGCGTCCAAACACGGCAGCGCGCCATTCGTGCCATTCGTCGACGCCCGTGCTCTGCAAGCGGATCAGTTCGACAAACAGCCGCCGTGAGGAGCAAGCTGTTTACTCATGTGAGAACCTGGTCCGTGCGCTGAACCAGTGGGGAAAGTCAAACAAGTAATTAGTTTGAACATGTTGAACTAATTGACAGATATTGATCTATCAAATCTGCCCACTTCCAGGCAATTCCATGTTCAATCGGCCTGTCTGTGTGTTCTTGTGTTTGTAAAGGTTTGTGAGGTGATGTGACTTCTGCTATAAACAAGATGGAGCCCACGAACCCGAATGCAAACACGTTCGAAAAGCTACATATGTCCAATTGACACTCTTCTAGGACTCTTGTGGGACACTCTTGTAGGAAACTCTTGTGGGACACTCTTACGGGACACTCTTGTGGGACACTCTTGTGGGACACTCTTGTGGAACATTCTTGTGGGACACTCTTGTAGGAAACTCTTGTGGGACACTCTTGTAGGACACTCTTGTGGGACACTGTTGCGGGACACTCTTGTGGGACACTCTTAAGGGACACTCTTGTGAGACACTCTTGCGGGACACTTGTGCGGGACACTCTTGTGGGACACTCCTGTGGGACACTCATTTGGAACACTCTTGTGGGACACTCTTGTGGGACACTCTTGTAGGACACTCTTGTGGGACACTCTTGTGGGACACTCTTGTGGGACACTCTTGTGTGGGATACTCTTGTAGGACACTCTTGTGGGACACTCTTGTGAGACACTCTTGTGGGACACTCTTGTAGGGCACTCTTGTGGGACACTCTTGTGGGACACTGTAGGGCACTCTTGTGGGACACTCCTGTAGGACACTCTTGTGGGACACTCTTGTGGGTCACTCTTGTGGGACACTCTTGTAGGAAACTCTTGTGGGACACTCTTGTAGGACACTCTTGTGGGACACTCATTTGGGACACTCTTGTGGGACACTCTTGTGGGACACTCTTGTGGGACACTCTTGTGGGACACTCTTGTGGGATACTCTTGTAGGACACTCTTGTGGGACACTCTTGTAGGACACTCTTGTGGGACGAGCGTTTCGTACGAGACTTCCCGCGTCAAGTCTGAAAGCATTTCGTACGAGACTTCCTCCAAAAGTCACACGTCAAGTCTCCAAAACGAGCGTTTCGTGCGAGACTTCCTCAAAAAGTCACACGTCAAGTCTCCAAAACGAGCGTTTCGTACGAGACTTCCTCAAAAACTCACGTCAAAGTCTGCAAAACGAGCGTTTCGTACGAGACTTCCTCCAAAAGTCAAGCGGAAACACCCATCGGAGCACACACACACACATCACGCAGCCCTGCCAAGCAGTTTCGCGATTCCAGCCCCTCCAAACAACATCCGCTCACACGCCAATCCCTTTGTGACAGCGACATTCACCTCTACCACAACTCACAACCTCACGGTTCCCTGCACCTGCCACGAATCTTTCCGCGTCCACACGTCGAACGCGTACAAAGTACTGCGCCTGCCACGAAATGTCACCTCCGTCACACCTCGCAACCTCACGATTCCCTGCGCCTGCCACGAGAATCGCACTTCCACGCCTCAAAACCCGCACAAAGTCCTGCGCCTGCCACGAGAAGTGACAATATCATCTCATGTGAGCTTCAACAAAAATTGCACCGCACCACACGTTTGGATCTTGTGGGACACTCTTGTAGGACACTTTTGTAGGACGCTCTTGTGGGACACTGTTGCGGGACACTCTTGTGGGACACTCTTAAGGGACACTCTTGTGGGACAGTGTTGACACTCATTTGGGACACTCTTGTAGGACACTCTGGACACTCTTGTGGGACACTCCTGTGGGACACTCATTTGGGACACTCTTGTGGGACACTGTAGGACACTCTTGTGGGACACTCTTGCGGGAGACTCTTGTGGGACACTCTTGTAGGAAACTCTTGTGGGATACTCTTGTAGGCCACTCTTGTGGGACACTCGTGTAGGACACTCTTGTGGGACACTCTTGTAGGGCACTCTTGTGGGACACTCTTGTGGGACACTCGTACCTCTTGTGAGACACTCTTGTGGGACACGGTTGCGGGACACTCTTGCGGGACACTCTTGTGAGACACTCTTACGGGACACTCTTGTAGGACACTCTTGTGGGACACTCTTGTAGGACACTCTTGTGGGACACTCTTGTGGGACACTCTTGTAGGACACTCTTGTGGGACACACTTGTGGGACGGAAACTCTTGTGAGATATATAGTCTTGTAGGACACTCTTGTGGGACACTCTTGTAGGACACTCTTGTGGGACACTCTTGTAGGGATTGTAGGGCACACTCTTCGTACGAGACTTCCTCCAAAAGTCACGCTGCGAGGCTGCAAGACGAGCGTTTCGTACGAGACTTCCTCTAAAAGTCACGCGTCAAGTCTGAAAAACGAGCATTTCGTACGAGACTTCCTCCAAAAGTCACACGTCAAGTCTCCAAAACGAGCTGTTCGTACGAGACTTCCTCCAAAAGTCACACGTCAAGTCTCCAAAACGAGCGTTTCGTACGAGACTTCCTCAAAAACTCACACGTCAAAGTCTGCAAAACGAGCGTTTCGTACGAGACTTCCTCCACACACATCACGCAGCCCTGCCGAGCAGTTTCGCGATTCCAGCCCCTCCAAACAACATCCGCTCACACGCCAATCCCAATGTGACAGCGACATTCACCTCTACCACAACTCACAACCTCACGATTCCATGCGCCTGCCACGAATCTTTCCGCGTCCACACGTCTAACGGTGGCAAAGTACTGCGCCTGCCACGAAATGTCACCTCCGTCACACCTCGCAGCCTCACGATTCCCTGCGCCTGCCACGAGAGTCGCACTTCCACGCCTCAAAACCCGCACAAAGTCCTGTGCCTGCCACGAAAAGTGACAATATCATCTCATGTGAGCTTCAACAAAATGTGCGCCGCACCACACGTTTGGAATGATTTCGGCCCGTTCTGAGCACACTCCCATCCAGCAAAATCGCCATTTCAGCCGAGACTTGTCGAAAACCGAGCTTCGATGCCACACCCTGAAACGCAAATCCCAAAGGCACGGCCACATCCAACACCCCAAAAACACGACTCTCCAAACGCTAATCCGCTAATCCCAATGGAACTGCGCAGCAAACTGCGGATCTCACAAAACGCTGCGCCTGTGCAGCGAAATGCATCACGTTTCTTGTGCGACATGTCATTGTCATGCAAATCACAATGTAATAGCGGCGCAAACTGACACGTGACACATCCATGAAAAGTCACTTGCAAAAGCTTCCCCCAATGGCCTCGAATTTGAGACGCGACGACGACGACAAACGTTGAGAGACGACGAGAGACGACGACACGACGCAAGCCATGCAAACACAGCTCCAACCCCCAGACCCCCAACTATAAACGGGAACCCTTCGCTCCGCATTCGGGAAAAAGTGATGCAACCACCCCTAGATACAATTTCCTTCACTGCCGGCAGCACTCCACTTGGCCCATCAAGATGGCCCCCAGACAGGGGGACACCGACTTTTCACGTGGCCTTTGGCAAAACAGTGCTGCCTGGAAAAACAGATCAACCCACCAAGGCCTTGTGGTGGGGAACGAAACGACGTGAGAACGGGGCATGTTGCCCTCCCAAGCGCACCCCCGGGAGCTGTTTGTTTCGGTTCACCTGGAACATGGTGAAGCGAACTGTGCACCTATTGGATTCAGTGGGGAAAGCACTTCGCCAAGAAGGAAAGCACTTTTTTCTCACGGACCATTTTCAAGCATTGGAGGTATAGATCAGGACATAAACATGATGGGTTAAGACCACAAGCACGCAGCAAATGTCTGCAAGTGAGCCAAAAGCCTAGCAACAAAAAGTGAGTTTAACCATGTTTCACATGGGAATTTCTCAGCCACACCGGCAAGCGAAACAAATCATTGAATTTCCTCAGAAAGCTTTCTGCACTCAGAAAAAGCTTTGCAGTTTTAAATTTTCAAATCTCGTGGTTTCTGCTATTTCTCCCTGTCTCCCTGCTGGGCGTCTTTTTACAGAAGGCACACTAGATTTCACCTAGTTTCTCGCTCGGTTCACCCAACAGATCACCCAACAAATCTGAAGAAACACACCCGTGAAACACTGGTCCACATGTTCGTTGAAACACTGGTCCACATCGTTTTTCTTACGTCGCACACGAACCACACAAAACAGTTTCTAAAGACCACGACAGTTTCGAAGGGTCATGAGTCGGTTGACCTCTTCGGAACCTGAAACCACCTGAGAGGGGGGAACGGCGCTTGCTCCGCGCTCGCTAGGCGCCCGGCACGCCGAGTGTCCAACGTATGTTTGTTGTGTGGGTTTTCGTTGGATGTCTTACTTCAACAACATACACAACATGGTGTTTTAACAAAGACCACCTCTGAGTCCACTCATCTGATTGAGTTTGCTCATTGGTATGCTATGATCAGAACTGTCGAGTTTTCTGAAGAAGTGGATCTGTTATATGAATCCTATATATAACATTATATAACTATCTATATAAAAATAGCATGAGATCATGAGACCCTTTTGTTTCTTTTGAGTCACCACATCGTGCCTCTATCTCCGATGACCGTTGGCCACCCCGTTGCTTGTCCCATTGCTGTGTGCGGTGATAAGGCGCCGCCGGGCAAGTAAAGCCTCACCGTGTGGCGAGCAAAGCAAAATGGGGCAACGTTCTCCAAGAGCTACATGGGTTTGAATGCCCTCCAACCTAAGAGCGATGGCATCCAACCTAAGAGCGATGGCCTCCAACCTAAGAGCGATGGGCTCCAACCTAAGAGCGATCGCCTCCAACCTAAGAGCGATGGGCTCCAACCTAAGAGCGATGGACTCCAACCTAAGAGCGATGGGCTCCAACCTAAGAGCGATGGGCTCCAACCTAAGGTGATGGCCTCCAACCTAAGAGCGATAGCCTCCAACCTAAGAGCGATGGCCTCCAACCTAAGAGCGATGGCCTCCAACCTAAGGGTGATGGCCTCCAACCTAAGAGTGATGGGCTCCAACCTAAGAGTGATGGGCTCCAACCTAAGAGCGATGGCCTGCAACCTAAGAGCGATGGACTCCAACCTAAGAGCGATCGCCTCCAACCCAAGAGCGATGGGCTCCAACCTAAGAGTGATTGCCTCCAACCTAAGAGCGATGGGCTCCAACCTAAGAGTGATGGGCTCCAACCTAAGTTCGATGGCCTCCAACCTAATGGCCTCCAAGCAAAGAGTGATGGCCTCCAACCTAAGAGCGATGGCCTCCAACCTAAGAGCAATGGGCTCCAACCTAAGTGCGATGGGCTCCAACCTAAGAGTGATGGTCTCCAACCTAAGATCGATGGCCTCCAACCTAAGAGTGATGGGATCCAACCTAAGGTGATGGCGTCCAACCTATATAACAGCGATGGCCTCCAACCTAAGAGCGATGGCCTCCAACCTAAGAGCGATGGGCTCCAACCTAAGAGCGATGCCCTCCAACCTAAGAGCGATGCCCTCCAACCTAAGAGCAATGGGCTCCAACCAAAGAGCGATGGCCTCCAACCTAAGAGTGATGGCCTCCAACCTAAGAGCGATGCCCTCCA